GTGGTAAGTTATCTAGAAGAGGCATGAGAACTAAGAGGAAGGAGTTCTCACTGTGTTCCTGATAGCTTCATTGCATATTTTGTTTTGATTATCTCAATATGATCAGTTACAATATTCATGATCTTAGGTTATGATGATATAAAGATATAGCTTCCTTTTCGTCTGGCTCTATGTGACCAGTATGATAGGTGATTCTGGTGCCAACACAGCATTTAGGAAAACAGATATAACACAAAGATGCGCTTGCTCTTATGTGATGAGACAAGTCTGCTTGTCAGAAGTTGACTTTTCTGAGATGTTTAGTGGTGCTTTTTTTGATCCCTAAGCTCCTTATATCGATTATAAATAACAACCAAAGTATGCTCTTTGTGGGTGAAAATAAATGCAGCAGCAGTCAGCACCTACTTGAAATATCACCTGTTTCCAGGCTAATTGAGGTGGTTTATAAAACTATCTCATATTTTTACAATTTTATGTTCTTCTTGACACTTCTGTATTCATTCCTGAAAGTTTTATTAGACAATATTGTTGGGTTTTTTCTTGAAATAGTAAAAGACTCTGGATGCTCAACTTAATGTTTTCTTCTGAAGTTTCTTCTGGGTTCAGGAGACAGGTTTTGTTTTAGTGCTGTGTTAATTTATTTTTTAGTCAAGCTGTCCTTTAGGGAGTAGTCTATTTTATAAAGAAACATTAAACCATAGCAAAATACACAAATAACTCCTGTACCATTAACATAGATGACCCAACATTGACAAGATTCCAGCATATTCTTAGTATCTTTGTCATTTTTATGGAAATGTAAGAAATGCATATGTTCTTTAACTCAACATTCTTCTTATAGAGTTTTTCCCCAACACTTTTAGATCTCAAATTTAAATACATGTTATCCAAGTACTTAGACTAAGTATTCAGAGCATATTAATTTACCGAAGTTTGATTGCCTTTCATACTTTTGGGTGAAGATTATGCATACAACCCTCCACAGTTAACAAATGTGACTTCTCAAAACCCATATTTTATGTGACCTTTGTAAGACACTTGGGGGAATGTTCACTCCTGGGGGCTGAACATCTGGAAGAGCTTTGGTCTCCACCAAAAGCTTCATTGGCAGTGCAGAGCTAACAGCTATTTTTAATTTACGTACACTGCCCAATGGTACATTAGTCAGCAACAAAATTTTTAAAACAATCATTTTTCATCAAAAAATTAAAAATAGAATAACCATGTGATCCAGCAATTCCATTTCTGGGGATATACTCAAAAGAAATGAAATCGGGATCTTAAGCAGATATTTGCACACCCATGTTCACATTTTTCACGATATTGAATTGTTATCAGCAGCATTATTCACAGTAGCCAAGAGGAAGAAGGAACCCAAGTGTCCATCGATGGGCGTGGGTAAAAAAATGCGGTGTATCTATACAATGGAATATTGTTAAAAGGAGGGAAGTTCTAAGACATGCTAAAACATGAATTAACTTTGACATTATGCTAAGTAAAATAAGCCAGTCACAAAAAGACCAATACTGTACAATTCTGCTTATATGTGGGACCTAGAATAGTTGAATTCATAGAGACAGAAAGTAGAATGGTGGGTGCCTGAGGCTGGCTGGGGTGGGGGCGAGGGGAATGTGGAGGTGTTATTTAATGGGTACAAAGTTTCAGTTTTGTAAGATGATCAAATTCTGGAGTTGAATGGTGGTGATGGTTGTGCAACAAAGTGAATATGCTTAACACAATGGAACTGTATACTTAGACATGGTTACGACGGCAGATTTTATGTTACGTATTTTTTACCACAATAGAAAAACATCGATAATTACCTACTACTGTTTAAAGTTCTATGTCAGCTGTTACCTATATTAGGAGGAGGCAAGTATATCCTTTGGAAATCTTTGGTCATCACTTGGCATGGCCAGACTCCTATCAAAGTAATGGCCATTAACCCAGGGGTCCCTCCAACTTGCCCAGTAGTGAGAGGTCATATAGGTCTCCTTGGTCAATTTCGTGCTCATTACTTCTGGGCCTTAGTAAACTTCTAAAGGAGCAGGTTCTCCAGCAGCAAGGACTGAGGCCCTGACAGTGTCTTTGTTACTGAAGTTCAGCTTCTCTAGGCTCAGTTTGTACAGAGACTATGTGGCAGGAGTGGTCAGGTAGCACCAGCCCAGTGAGCCAAAGAGGGTGTCCACCTGCACGAACTGACAGATATCCCGTGGGACACACCTGAGTTCGCACTGACACTGAGCCCTGCTCCCAGCCTGGATGCCCCAGAACCTGCCCACATTCTGGCCAGTCTGAGCAGAGGGGCGTAATCCGAGGCAGCACCTGCCCTTTGGCTGTGGTCCAAAGAACAGAAAGGGCAGTGGTCCAGGCTTGGCGATAGGCAGCTGCGGCCACAGTGAAAGGACTAGCTCTTTTTACCTGTGCTTAGTAGGTCAGGAGTGATTGAATGAACAGTGGCCTTTCAGTCGTCACCGCTCACTGATCGTGCCCAGTGATAACATCTTCCAAGTAGAAAGGAGAGAATATTTTTGCACTGACTCAAGTTATTCCTTTTAAGATGGAATTACCAGCCTGTTTTTAAGAAACACTTAATCTTGGAATTTTTGTGAAAGTAAAGGAAAACTCTTCTGAGTGCATTTGGTAGCTGGACTGCAGCCACTCAATCGTAATGCTGGCGGTGGCAAAGTTTATGAAGTGAGTTGAGAGATTATTGCGGAGTGTTTTATATACCTTGTTGCCATAACAGGTACACAGTGCTCTCACGTGAATGTCAAGGCACTGAGGTGGTCTTTTGGTTAAAGATCACTCATTCCACAAAAACGTATTGAGCAGGTATGAAGTGCAAAGAGCTGCTTAGCGCTTTAGGGCACTCAGAAGGGAATAAGCCCCTGTCCCTGCCTTGTCTCCTGCAGTGCCCCGCTGGCCTGTCTTCAGGTGTCCATCCTGCCACTTGTTTATCACCTCGGAAAATTCCTTAACCTCTTTAAGCCTCAGTTTAGACATTGGCAAAGTAGGGATAATACAGCCTACTCCCTTGACCATTAAATGAGGTAACGAAATGACTGAGCACATAGAAAGTGCCCAGTAAATGGTAGTTATTTTTAGTTGCTAAAATTAATTGGTTGTGATTACTTATGCAATAAAATTTTGAGTAATGTGTATAGTATAGAAGATTCTAACCAGGATCACTGGGGAAGGCTTTGCAGAGGAAATGGCATTTGATCTGAGTGTTGATGAGCGAGTGCATAGACTTTCTTTTGGCCAAAAAGGATGGCAGGAGCCGCCTGGGCCAGGCTTGGGAGCCTGGCAGTGCTTGCGATGTGGGAGCAGGAGCTGATCTAGCTTTGAGTGTGGGGCCTGGGAGTACAGTGCCCAGGGGAGGCACGCTGGAGCTGCGGTGAGAGAGAGAGGGATGTAGATTAGACTCGGCCTTGTCTCAATCTTTCTTACTAGTCACCAGTTTCTTCAACTCTACCACCTGACTCCAGAGCAGGGGATGATGGTATTATTATATTTTTTGCAGAGGTGTGTTCTTGAAGGTAGTGTTCTGATTTCCTTTACTAAATTCAGCCAGTAAAGCAGTGATGCAGCTTCTGAAAGCAATTAGCAGTGGCCAAATGAGAATGGGAAAGACATCTACTCTGTGTTCTTTATGTGCAGTGTGTTCTGTGGGATCTGCTTTCTTGGGACTCTTGTGAGGAGCATGTGGCCCGGGTGGGCAAAGTCAAAGGAGCTTAGACTTATGGGCTCTTGGACCTGGAAAGAACCTTGGCTGCTGTCCCCAGCGGGGCGTTGGGAAAGGAAAGGTCTGATCCCTCTGGGCTGGGCCTTGGTCTGGACATTTGCTATTTGTTCCTCATTTCACAAGTCTTCCTGACAGCTATGACATAGGTGGCAGTGGCTTGATTTTACAGATTAGAAAACTGAGGCTGAGAGAGGAAAAGGGACTTGTTGAAGAATCAAGTCCAGGTCTGTTTTCAGGACCGCGCTTTCTGTTCTTTTATTTGGTTGGCTAATTGACTTGCCTGAGGGCACATAATTACTAATACCAAAGTGGGCGTTTTAATGGGTGGCTTGATTTTATTCTGTGTACTTCTATACCAGGTGGTGTAATGCTTCCACCAGCAAGAAGCCCCCATTTTAGAATCGGCTTTTTGTACAGAAAATGCCTAATTAATGGGAATCTCTGCTTTATAAATGTAGTGATTAAGTAAGCCCTATGTACCAGGGACTCTTCCAGGTGCTGGGAACACAAAGATGAATGATGTATCCCTGCCCCTAAGGAGTTCATGTAGAAGAGGGGACATACAGAATCATAGTGGAACAGACGCGAGGAGGGCCGGAGAGTAGGTGGATGGTGTCCCTCACTCAGAGCCAGCAGAGGGGACGCCTGTGCAGGATGACAACCACTGCATGATCAGGCCTGACGGTGAGGTGTGGGGCGATTGTGGGGTTGTAGTCCCAGGCCCTGACCCGACCCCGTACTGGTGCCCTGCCAGTGGCCATTTCCCTCCCCATGCCTGGCTGCCACTCGGGCACCACAGCCTTGGCTCTTTGCTGACAGGCTGCCCACTGCTTGTGGCCAGGCCCTTCCTGCCCTCCCTGGTGCCTGCTCTCCCCGCTCCCCACCCGCCAGGTTTGCTCTGCAGGTGCTGCTCCCCTGTTTGCTGTGGCCACCCTGCTCCTAGGTGCTGTCTTCTCCCCGAGTCGTTGCAGTGATGGGTCATCACTGCTTACAGCACCAAGGTGCAGGAGGGACACGCAATGGAAATAGTGGTCTCAGCAGTGATAGCTTCTGGAATGGTATTGGGGCCTCATTCATTTGTCTCTAGCTGCACCAGCCACAGGTGACCGTAGAGCACTGGGAATGTGGCCAGTCTGGATGGATATGCTGTGGAGTGTAAAATGCGTATCAGATTTGAAGACTAAAGTACAAAAAAGAAATTAGAATATCTCAATTTTTAAAATATTGATAACATGTTGAAATGATATTATTTTGGATGTATTAGGTTAAATAAAATACATTTTTATTTTTTGAGATAGGGTCTTGTTCTGTCACCCTGGAGTGCAGTGGCCTAATCATAGCTTGTTGTAACCTCAAACTCCTGGGCTCAAACAATACTCCTGTCTCAGCCTCTGGAGTAGCTAGGACTACAGGTGTGCACCACAATGCCCGGCTGATTTTTAAATATTTTTGTAGAGATGGGGCCTCACTATGTTGCCCAAGCTGGTCTTGAACTCCTGGGCTCAAGTGATCCTCCCACCTCAGCCTCCCAAAGTGCTGGAATTATAGGTGTGAGCCACCACTCCCAGCCAAAATACATTATTAAAGTTACATTTACCTGTTTCTTCTTATGTCTTTTTGATTTTGATATTGCTACTAGAAAATTTTAAATTATATATATATATATTTGTTTTTAAGATGGAGTCTAGCTCTGTCA